ATAGATAGATAGATAGATAGATAGATAGATAGATAGATAGATAGATATAGATATAGATATAGATATAGATAGTTTTCTTATGTTTTCATGGGTATTTATATGTATGGTATTTAGGTTTCTTTGGGTATTTTCCACGTCTTAATATTTGTGCTTTTATTATAGCGACGTTTCAGCAGAATCTCATCTTCCATCCTCAGGCTTGTGTATTGGGTTCTTTTTAATCTTGTGTGTCAGGCTTAGCAGCCATTTTTTGTTTACATTTGGTGCTGGCTTTCCGCTTTATTTGAATGGTTTTTTCCTCATCTTGATTGGCTGGGAGTCTAGGTCTGTTTTTATTGGTCTTCGAGTTGCTGTGTTCTTGATTGGTTGGCAACATTGTGTTTTGTGCATTGGGGTTTCTTAGTGCAGCTGGTTTCTTGTGAATGGCCAATAATTATTTATTAGGAAGCTAGATTTTATTTGAGTAGCTGAGGCGTGTTTGGGCTGGAGGTACAGGGTGGGGGGAGTTGTTTGTGTCCAGGTTCTTGCCTGGATTGTGGTATAGAGATTTGTTTGTTTGTGAGTGCAGGCTTCCAGATGATTGATAGTCTGGTGGAGTCATCTCTTCTATTAATACTATTAGGTCTTTTATCAATTTCTATGGCTTCTCTGATGATTCTGTAGCCGGGGTTTTCTGTAGTAGCTAGGGTTTTGGTGCCACTGAAGTCGATGCTATGACCTGTGGCTTTCATATGTTGGACTAGTGAGGAAATGTGTTCCAGCTTTTTTATTGCATTCTTGTGTTCTTCAAGGTGGGTACTTATCCTTCTGTTGGTTTGTCCTATGTATGTGGCAGGGCATGATGCTCAGGGTACTTCATATATGCCTTGGTTTTCTAAGTCAATTTTATCTTTGGGGTTTCTTAGGATGGTTGTTATTTTTTTGTTCGTTTTGAAGGCAGTCTTGATGTGATGCCTGCGTAGTATCTTGCTGATTTTGTCTATTGTTCTTCTTATGTAGGGCAGGACAGCTGTTCCATAGGTTTGTTCATCTTCTGGGTCTCTATTGTGTTTCAGTGTGTTTTTGTGGATCAGGTCCGTGATTTTGTTTTTGTGGAAGCCGTTAGCTATTAGTATTTGGGTCAGGGTACATAGTTCAGTCTTTATGTGTGCCTTGTCTGTCAGGCGTTTGGTTCTGGTAATTAGTGTTTTGGCTACGGAGTTTATTTGTGCTGGGTGGTGGTGGGATTGAGCGTTTAGGTAGCGGTTGGTGTGTGTTTTCTTCTGGTATATGATGTGTCCTAGTATGCCATCTGTTGTTTTGTAGATTACTACATCTAGGAATAGTAGTTGTTTGTTTCCGTTTCCATGGTGAACTTGATTTTGGGGTGTGTATTGTTTAGTTGTGTTAGGAAATTGTTTAGGTTTTCTTTTCCATCGGGCCAAATAACCAATGTGTCATCGATGTATCTTAGCCATAGTTTGGGTTTGTGGGTGGCATTTGCCAGGGCTCTAGATTCAAATTCTTCTATGAACAGATTTGCAATAACGGGTGACAGTGGTGATCCCATGGGGGCTCCTTCGAACTGCTTGGATCTTTGTCCTTTGTATATGAAATATATGTTGGTTAAGCAGTATTCTGTTAGTTCCATGAGGTGCTTGGGTGGTTTGTATTTGTTTTTGATGATTTGTATGGTTTCTTTCACTGGGACTTGGGTGAATAGTGAAACCACATCGAAACTTACTAGCAGGTCTCTTTGTTCCACATGTAGATTTTTGATCATTTCTAAGAAGTGGTATGAGTTTTGTACATGTGAAGCTGCTTGCTTCAGCATGGGGCTGTAACTGTTTTGCTAGATATTTGGCTAAGCCTGACACACAAGATTAAAAAGAACCCAATACACAAGCCTGAGGATGGCAGATGAGATTCTGCAGAAACGTCGCTATAATAAAAGCACAAATATTAAGACGTGGAAAATACCCAAAGAAACCTAAATATCATACACACACACACACACACACACACACACACACACACACATTCTTATTTTAAATAAAGTAACATTTATAATTCTTTTCCTGTCATAATATCTCAAATGTATGTGCATGTCTATATTCATATTAAGGCAGAGTACGTGTGCATGTATATATCTACTATAACGCTTTTCCTCATTATTACATAATTTTACTTTATAACTGATGAAGACCCACTACATTTAATTTGAAAACCGGTGTTTTTAATACTATAATTTGCTTAGTACTGAAAATATTACATTATATCACATAATATTACATATGAAATATTACATATGAAAAAGTCTAAATCTTAATGACTGCAACAATTAGAATTCTGTTGCTTTGGAAATACACCGTAGCAACTATAGTATGCTTTGCTTTCTGTATATTATGTATTAAAAACAAAGTTGAATAGTTAAGGCTCGGTAACAGAATGTATTTCCTTAACCCATTTCCAACAGTTATGAGGAAAGAGCAATATATCTTGATGAAATAATCCGGAATCATAAAGAACTATTGTCATTTGAAGATTTTGCTGCTCAGGTTTTCTCTCCCTCTCCCAGTTACTCCCGTAATGGATGTGGTAAGTCTCTGTATTGTATTTATTAGTACTGCAGTTACTACTATTACTATTATTATCATCATCACTAAGAATGATTTGAACAGCAGGTGTACACCTGTTTTTCACTTATAAAGAGCTGCAAATTAAAAAAAAACACTTTCTCTGTGAATTAGCTAATGAATATCAAAAGGAATGATGGCATTCATTTTAATTTGTTTTGTAACAGACCTTTTCACTCAATTCCTTTTTCACTATCCTGTTAACCCTCCGAATCTAGCAAGGTTAATGAACTTTCTCTCACTAATGTGTTCTGGTTCATTCAAGAGTGTAGACTTCTTGCTGAGCTGAGAATATGTTGTGCAAAAGCTATTTGTGAACCAGTGCACTCTTATAAAAAAATAGACCCTCACAGTAGGAGCCATTGCTAGTAATGTTAAATGAAGATTATGCTAGGAGAATGGAAGATAAATACAATATTTTGTCAGGCAATATCTGTGCTTAGATATTCAATTTATTGTAACCCTGTTTTTATGAGAAATTTATTTAATTATTTTGTAATTTTAAAACATAATTGTTTTATTTTGATGGTCCATTTTATGATTTACTGCTGTCTTGCAAAAGAATAGCAAACAAACCAGGTGCCTTTCTAGAAGAACATTCCTTTATTCAGTATAGTCAATGTCCATCTTCTGACACTGACATTTCCTAATTATATTGCAATGCTGTGTTGCATTGTTAAGTCAATGGATTATCCCTCACACCAGTGAATGTCTGGATGCATCTGTTTTCTTTTTTTTTTTTTAACTGATCAGCTTTTTTTATATATGAACTAAATACAACAGAGATTAAAGGTACTGAAATGAATCACTTTACAAATAAAACTAGACATGCATCACGGTTTAACATGACTGGCTGTACTTCTTGAGCTTTGTTAAGAGATATGGGATAGAAGCACATACTGTATTGGTCGCCAATGGCAGCAGGCAGAAGGCTTTGGAGATAAGCAAGCTGGCAGAAGTATAGAGGAACTAGTGCTATTTACATAATCGCACCTCTGCTTCCTGGAGAGGCGTCAAGAGACGGGAATGGCCTCTATTGATCTTTGTTGAACTGGAATACTAAACAACACTAGGCAAGCTTATAAATAAAGCTTTGATTAATCTTTTCTCTATTAAAATGTGCAGCTGCGAATTGATTTGTATATATTATTTATATATTCTATCAAACACAGGTTATTTGCCATTGCCTTATGAAAGAGTTTCATAATTTTATAGAACAATTTATGATTTGAGCTTTGTGAACAACTGAACTATTTATGTAACAATAGTAGTAGAATGATTAAAAAGAATACATTATAAAAATCCATTCATGAAAGTTAAAAAATTGATTATGGAGAACTGAGATTCAGCCTGCATCTAGCTGAAATACAAATCACATACATATGACTTATATATAATTCTATTTGGCCATTCTGGAATTCATGTAATGAAAGGGGAGAAAACATTTCCAGAAATTTAGATATGAAAGTTAATTAGTCAGTTTAAATACAGGGCAGCATATCTCATAAAATTCAAATTAATGAGCCAATCAAATCTCTCTCCCTTTCAGCCAGCATTGTTCAATACATTGAGAGAATATTCAACATGCTTAATGGTAAGATTGCAGGTACAGGTTTTGGGAAAAAGTTAAGCTATGGATGTGATTTATTTATGGCATGTCATTGGTCCTCAGCCTTTTGGCTAAGATCAAGTGTACTTATGGTGTGTCCATGCCCTTGTGCTAGATCAGGAGTGTCAAACTCAATTTCATTGAGGGCCGCATCAGGGTTGTGTTTGCCCTTGGGGGGCCAGGGTGGACATGGGCAACTCGACATCGCTCGTGTTGGGGATGTCTGTGGTGGCCCAAGTGCTCTGTCAGCGAAAATGGACTCACAATCTCTGTTTTTGGCTGTGACAGCCTCGCACCCCTGTGCCAGCAAAAGCAGAACTTGGGAGGGCTGCTCACGGCCCTCCCAAGCTCTCTTTTTACTGGTGGAGGCACTGCAGGCCAGTCCTTCACTGTTTCCAGAGCAGCCCCAAGGGCTGGATCTAAGCACCCCGAGGGTCACATCTGGCCCCCGGGCCTTGAGTTTGACACCCCTATACTAGACAAAATGCAGAGAAACCTATTAAGTGTAGCTGGGAAGGTGTGCAATAAAATTTTGATTGAAAGAGTACAAGCACTAGAATGGACGAAATTTGGGAAGCTCAGTGCAGTTTTATGCTGGGCAGAAAATGTCAGACTAGGTTTTTGCTTTTCAACAGGTTATTGAAATTGTATGAATGTGCTGTCCAGACAGTATATAATTAATTGGGAATTGGGAAAGTTAGTTAGGAATTGGGAGCTGTCCCCTTAAGGGAATGCCTCATGGTAAACGTAGTTAATGCATCATGGGAAATGTAGTTCATGTCATGTGGTCATATCTGTAATCCTGATTAGTCACTGAATTGTCCCTTGGTTGGGTTGGGGAGTTTCCTTTACTCTTGCTTGGACCCCAGCTCCATGCTGGTGTTTCACCCTTTGTTCCTTTGTTATGGGATGAAGATCACTATAATTTCACACTATGAAGTCAACTGTGCAAACAATTGGACATTAGATGAATCTCAACATAACCGTGAGTTGCTTGTGACCCAATAAAGAAACTTTGTATGGAAGCCTTTGTAGAGTTTGCCTGTCTGTCTTTATGATTCAGCCAGTAATTTTAAAAGACAAAACAATGAATGTGAGAGGAAAAGGTTATTTTACAATTGTTGAGTCAAAAAAAGATATAATAAAGTTGGATTGGATTGAATAATGAAATGCCTTGATTAATATGGAGTTGAAGATTGGTTTTATATTAATCTACATCAGGCATGTCAAACTCAAGGCCCGTAGGACGCATCCAGCTGCCGGGTGCTTAGATCTGGCCCACGGGGCCACCCTGGAAGTAGCAAGGGACTGGACTGTGGTGCCTCTGCCAGCAAAAACTCGGGCAGCCCTCCTGAGCTCCATTTTCACTGGCACAGGATTGCAGAAAGCTATTGTAGCTGGAAACAGAGCTCACGAGCCTGTTTTTGCTGGCAGAGCACTTGGGCTGCCACAGACACCCTGACACAAGTGATGTTGAGCTGGCCACATCCACCCCAATCCCCCTGAGGTCAAACACCAACCTGATGCGGCCCCCAATGAAATCAAGTTTGACACCCCTGATCTACATTGTGTTATTACTGGGGGGAGGAGGTATGTGTATGAATGAATATGGATATATGTGTTTTATACGTGTTGATAAGGGAAGAAAAAGGGACTAAAACAAAACAAGTTGAAATACTAGAAAGTACATTTTAAAAATGCAAAAGAGGGAATTAAAAAAATAGAGAAAAGTGGGAGGAGGAGTAAGTTGCAAATTTAGAGTAGCCCCAAACGATAAACCTGTACTTATAGGAAGAATGCAACCTCATCAAATCAGGGGTTATCTCAGCCTCTGAATCCAGTCTCCATACCAACAGCATCTCTATCTATATATTTACTAAAACCTTCATGCCTGTAATCTTTAATAGGGCGAAATGGAGCACTATAATGTAAAACCTTTTTAATCAAGATACCTCAAATAGGCTAATTTGCAGTATGCAACCAAAAACTGGGATCCATGATTCCCATGGAATTGAAATTTGATAAATGTTATAAAGCACACTATGACATAAAACGTCATAACAGTTTCCTAGGGGAAAATCCTGATATTTCAGTGGACTATTCAGTTCAATGTAGGCTACTTTCAAGAGGTCTATGAGAACTTGCCCCTGCAAGGACACTTCACCCCGGCCAACTTGCTACCAGGAGAACTTGCTGTAAGCCTGAGCTTTCTGCTTGGTTTCCAAAGCTGGCCCAGCTTAAGGGAGGCAAAAGGGTGCAGCTCAGATGCAGATAAAAGACCGCAAGGTCCGCTCAGAATGGTGTGTGTGTGCACACGCACACAGGTGTGCATGTGCACGGAACAATAACTCCCACTTAGCCTGCAATTTGTTGGTGGGTGCTGGTCAGAACTTTTGCCTCCCTTAAACTGGAAACCAGAGTGGAAGGTCCAGAATCACAGCAAGTTGTCCCCACAGTGAGCTGGGTGGGCTGAGATGTCCCGTGGCAAGGTGGCCATGGCTAGGTGATGGTGGTGAGGTGGTGATGAGGTGGCAGTGGCAAGGTGACATCAGCAAGTTGTCCCATTCCGACTTCAAGACAGATACATCTCTGAATATGTCCTTGAATTTTTAAGGGCTGTTTTTTTTAAGTGCATTAGAAGTAATGCTATTATTGAAGGCATTGAGGAATCAGGAAAGGAAATATCTCTGAAATGATGACCGAACAGGTCATGAGTTGTCTAATCTTACTTGAATTTATTTTCAGCTTGTTCTCCCTTACCCAGACCATTATTAAATCTAAGCAACATTCAAGGATACTGATTGTTTTCTCAGAATTAGATTTAAGAAACAATAGAGCTGCATCAGTATATTGATGGCATTCTGTATCAAAGCCCTAAATGACCTGCCTTGTTGGTTTCCTGTAGATATTAAAAAGCAAAGAAGACAAGACAGAACCCTGAGATGCCCAGGTCTCAGAGAGAGATCCTCCTACACCCTCTTCTGAAAAGATGCCCTCCCTCAAATCCCTGTGCAGGCCAGATTGCTGTGGTTGATGGTATTGAAAGCTAACAAGAGATTCATGAGATATAGCAAAATATCTCCCATCTAATTTTCAATATACATCACCCACAAAGTGATTAGAACAGCCTTGGTATCATATTTAGACAAAATCCACCTCCACCCTGATCCTGCCATCACTAGTCCCTATTAACATTTGTTACAATATTTTTCCACGTCATATCAGGGCAAAAAGGGTAATAATATCAACTTTATTGTGTTGCCTCCTAACATTTTATTCAGTCCTACATCTGGAGGATACTGTTTTCTGTGATATTTCCCAGTCTGTATACTAAATGTAATTTATGTGTTGCAAGCCACTCTGATAGAGATGTTGTTGGATCCTGTATCATACATAGCTATATTTTAAAAAAACCCTCTTTTTTATGCTTTTACTAAGAATCAGTCTGATTTAAGATGATAGGCCAAGATTGCAATTTAATCTGGATACCTGAAAAAGGTGTTCTTCAACAGGAAGAAATGCAATATATTTAAGGAGGAGATGATAGATAGATAGATAGATAGATAGATAGATAGATAGATAGATAGATAGATAGATA